GGATACCATTGGAGAATGGGCGTGGCTTCCAGGGAGGGTGGAGTCGGAGCCTGATGGAGGAGGGGCCTTTGAGGACCAGGATCCCTGAAGAAGGGAGTTTCCGGGAATGACAGAGGACCCAGGGGTGGGAGCCCTGGGAAAGGGGCAGGGGTGAAGGGATCCCTGAGGAGGCAGCTGAAAGGTGGAGGGCTTGGGAAGAGGTGGGAGAATTATGGAGAGTTTTGGGTATGGTGGGGGGGTGGGGACGGGCTCTGTGTGTCCCAGGAGGGGCTCTCCGGAGCCGGAGAGGTTGGGATGGGGGACGCCCCGGGGTGGGGCTGGGAGAAGGGCTGGGTGGAGATCCCTGACAGCGGAGGAGGGGGTCGGGTGGGATGGAGCTGCCTGGGCAGTGGGGTCCCCCAGTGACTCAGGTCTGAGTACTAACTGACCTCTTCCTCTTTCTCTTCAGCATCACCCTGGAGACCGAGATGGGCTACCCACACAAAGGGTCGCGCCCCCTGCCCCGCTCGGGGTCCCGGCCCCGGCCTAGCCCCCGCTCCCGCACCCGCTCCGGGTCCTCGGGGGGCTGCCGGCAGCCTGCGCGGCGCGTTCGAGGCTGACTCGGGGTCCCCAGCAGGTCGGGGCTGGAGTGGGGACAAACACTGCGCGGGCCTGCAGGGCCATGCTGGTTGAGACGCGCAGGGCCTCCCTGGGCAGGATCTAGACCCATTCTCTGGCCACCTACTGCTTATGCTGCAGAAAGAAACCCGCCGCCTGAAGCCCCCCCTGCCTTCCCCACCTCCCCCATACCACCGACATGAGCCCAGGGACTCAAGTAAGAACTGCCCACACGGTTTCCAAGGCTGTAAATCTTCACAAAGCCGACATCCTTCTCCCTGGCAAGGCTGGTGGGTTCAAACCACTGACCTTTGGGTTCAAAATCAAGCTTTGACATCCCTTGGATTCTGACTCATAGCCAAGCCGGCTCTATAGGACAGAGTAGACCTGCCCTGTGGGTTCCCAAGACTAGCTCTTGTGCCCCACGGCGAGTAGAAAGCCCATCTTTCTACCAAGACGCAGCTGGTGATGTTGAGCGGTGGGCCTTAGCAGCACCGACATGCTTTTAGCCTCTTTGCCACCAGGGGTTTCCAAACACAGGCATCTTCCCACATAATCCTGGTACCAGGATGAACATCAGGAAGTGAATCCTGATAACATGCTGTTATCTAATCTACAGACCTTAATCAGATCTCGCCAACTATCCCAATAAGGTCCTTTACCACAGAAAAACATCCTGCCCCACACGTCGCCTTGGTCAAGCTGCTTTCATCTCTGTGGACCTGAACATTTGTCAGCCTGTCGCTCTGCCTTGTCCACACTGGCGTTTTCCGGGCCCAGGCTGGTTATTTAGGGGAATTCCTACACCTGGGGCTGTCTGCTATTTCCTCCTGCTTATGCACAGGGTAGCATTGCTGGCAGGACTATCCCAGAACATAAACATAAAATGTCAATGTACAATTCAATATTCAACATAAAATATCACTTGCTGAAGTTATGGTGTGTATATATATATATATACATACCACAGATAGCTAGATAGATAGAGAGAGACATAGATATACTAATAGAAAACCTCAGAGAACAGGTAGAAACGTTCCTAGATGTAAACAACTATCCAGAAAACCCTGAGAAGGAAAAGAAGTCCCATTTCAAATAGGTTTTTTTTTAATATATATACCCGAGAATAAATGCATCTCTTTAGTATATAAAAGCCCAAACCAAACCCACTGCCAGCAAGTCGCTTCCAACTCATAGTGGATCCTACATAGGGTTCTGAGGTTACACCGTTACAGGAGCAGGCAGCCTCAGGTGGCTTTGAACTGCCGACCTTTCAGTTAGCAGCCATCCCCTTACCTACAGCATCACCCAAACCAAACTCACTGCCATCCAATCCATTCCATCTCACAGTGACCCCACAGGACCGGGCAGAGCTGCGCCTGTGAGCTTCTGAGATGACGAATCTGTACGGGTGTAGAAAGCCTCATCTTTCTCCCACGGAGCTGCGGGTGGTTGCGAACTTTTGACCTTGAGATTAGCAGCCCCACCAGGGCTCCTTGGATTACATAGAGCACTCTGAACGTTTAATCATCTTTAAAATCTGGTAGGAAAAGGGCAAAGAAACCTACAGAAAGGCGCTCACCTGCACTGGTAGAAAAGAGCTATCGGTGGAAAAGTACAGTGTGGCACCGCTTACCGTGGATACGTCTGGAAAAAAACGAAAACCAAAAAACAGCGTCGACACACGGAACGGGTGCGGCTGTGGGGAAACAGGCGGTTGTTCCCAGGCTTTGTGGGAGGGTCCGTTGGGCACCTGGGAGGCAATTGTCCAGCATCTGTGAACATTTAAGATGCACCCACCTGCCCTCAGACCGGCCAATCTCCTCCTCCTGGTTTCCAAGACTAACTTTTTACAGGAACCGAAAACCTCGTCTTTCTCCTGCAGCACGGCTGGTGGTTTCAGTTAAGAGGCCAACGCGTGACCACAAATGATGGA